CTTACACCACATACAATTCAACACCAAAATTACAAAATTTTTAAAAGCTGAATAGCAGCATATGTCTACAATTCTAGATGCAATGGTAAGTGTTATCATATGTTTTTATATTTTTTTTGTTTTTTACCAGTTCTTTATATCAGTATCCAGTTTTCTTAGTATGATGGCTAACAATTTTTTTTTCATAATTAAGTTTTTATGTGTTAAGTTTATTAAGTATTACGTTCATCTAACTTATGCTATATAAAACTCAGTGCAACAGCAAAATCACAATATACCTAAAACAGCATATTTATATTCGCTATATTATTTTTTTAAAACTAGCCCCTTGTACAGCAAGCTGCATAATATAGTTTTCATAAAAAGAAAAAGTACGTAATGATTTTAACGAGTCAGCTAATATTATTTCATAAAAATATTGACTACTTCTATTTAAACATGTCATGATTTTAACGTGTTTACTTGAATCAATCATATTAGAAAGTAGTAAAAAAAATATTCTCAAGAACAGCTTTTGTTACTTTTAAAATGCTTAGTTTATTATTCAGTAATCTTTCAGATTAAATCTGAAAGTATCTAAGGCTTTACTGAATAGCCACGCAGTGACACAAAAAAAATAAAAGAATTTTACTTCTAGCAGCGGCAGCACATTGCTTTCATAGAGACGACTTTGTTAATTTAAATTGAAAGATAAATAAATAGCTTACATTTTTTTTTGACTGGCAGCACTCTCATGCACCGAGATAAAATGTTCTGTTTCAAACAGTATTGCCATTGCTCGCTTTCAAATTCATTACAGTTTTACAAAATATTAAATAAATAATAAAACAAATTGGAAATTAAAATTCAGGCTTCCAGGTGCGCAATTTTGGGTGAAGGACTAGGTTATTCAAATTTTAATGGCTCTAGGTACCATCATTTTACAAGAAACATACATTCATACACGCAGAATCTTTATTATTTAATTTCCTTAAAAATAATACAGAGCGATAATATTTGACGGTAACAGTTTGATAAGGGATATGCTGTTTATAGTGAACCAAAGTAATGCATATTATATTAAACTGTAAATTCACTCATATTGATAAATTTCATTTTTAAGTTTAATACTAGGACTGATTTTTGGAGTTTGTTAATGGAAATGCCAGTAACAGGTTAAATATATGAACAAAATTAAACACTCCAAATGATGATATGTTTTGAAAATTGAGAACTGCAAATGATATAGCACGATTTCTCTTTTAATTTGCAAAGTTCATTCCAAATTAAGTACCAAAATCATGCCTAGTTACTTCTTGATTTATACTTCAAAAATATATCTATTGATTATTCAATCATAATATCAAAATATATAGAAACAAAATAATACACAAAATAATTACATAAATATAAAATGCCAGCATAATAAAAAAAATTATTATACCTATTTTCAGGCATTTTTTAATTTAATTCTTGTAACCTTGCTACATATTTTGTTCTATTCATATATGCCTATATACATATAGATATATAGAATTTAAGGATTCCATATTAACTAATACGAATATAACCAAAAATGACATCAATAATATATTTTCTTATTCTGAAGAATTTTCTGCGGTCTAGTTTGTGTTATTTTTTAAATCACGAATCAAAAACAATTAAATGTTTACGCTGTGTTAGAAAATTAACAAAAAAATAGTGACCCGCAATGCATTTGTAATTTGGCAAACGGTCCTTTGACGTGAAAAGGTTGAAAGACATTTCAGTTACGACTACTTTCTCAAATACTCAGATATTTTGTATACATATAACATAGCATTCGAAATGCAAAACTCGCTACTACACTACAAATACTACAAATCCATTAATGTAACAAATACGTATCTTTTTGCTACTATGCTTTTTTAAAACAGATGTTATTTGCTTTACAATTTATCGTTCAATAATCCACTTTCATCGTGAAAAAATTGCATTCATTCAAAGAATTCAGTTTATTTTCTTATTTTCCTTTCTGGAATGCAGAAAGAGTAAACAATCTCCACATTTTCCCACAACTCCCAAGAGCTCAGTCTCCCCTTTTTCAGCTTCATCCGTATTTAGGGACATTTGTAATTTGTGACTTGACTGCATCTGATTGGTATTCATTTAGGCCACCATCCTCAAAGATCATTAATTTGTTGTGATTTAACTTGGTTCTTCTCGTTTCTGATGGGAAGCTATTCAGGGAAACCTAGGTTCCTCTCTAATTAGACGTTTGCATATGTAAAACATAACTAATAGAAATAGGTAAAAAAAAAAAGGTATTTTTAAGATAAACATTTATAAAAAATATCAGAGAAAAGTTCAGAAGTCAAACAACAAAAATCAGCGCTATATTTTCAAATTTTCACAGGACTAGTTTCGATGGTTTTACCGAATCATCATCCTCAGCTTCAAAAGTGCAAATAAATATGTTTTAATTCTGGTTTCATCACAGATGGTGCCACTAGCTTATTTTCTGTCCAGGCTTTCTTATCTTATCTAATTATTATATCCTATCTCATTCATTTGCACTTTTGCAGCTGAGGATGGTGGTTCGGTAAAACCATCGAAACTAGTCTTGTGAAAATTTGAAAATATAACGCTGATTTTTGTTGTTTGACTTTTGAATTAGTAATTGTTTGGCGTGTTTTTGTGTCTTAATCAGAGAAAAGCTTTATAAGAAACTAGTACAGTCAAAAGTCCTTAATTCAGACACCCATAATGCGGAATGATCTATAATCCGGACCTCAAAGCTACAAACGTTCTGCGCATGCATCGCATTGATGCATGCGCGTAAGACCTTTACGGCTGCGAATATGCATATGCGCATAATACGTTTACGCATGTGCATTTAATGTATAACGGACGGTATAAGCTAAGCTAAAATAATCTAATTTAGTTAATGTTGCAGATTGCGTTGTTCCTTAATCTTCGAATTGGATCCGGCTTATTATTTTTTGCAGACTGTTAGAGCAATTTTATAAAAGTAAGTTTGAACATTCGATTGTGTCAAATAGAATTTCCGATATATATTTACTAATATGTAAAGGATTTACAAAGCGAAAGTATGTTTCGATGTCCATCAAACAAAAAGTGGAATTGCTGCAAAAAATGGATAAAGGCATATCCTTTGTTTTTATAACCATTCCGAAATCTGGTTATCAATTTCACGCTGCTCTGCGTGGAAGGGGAAACATCGCAGCATGCAATGAACTGGAAGTTGATCTGTCAGCACTATCCTTATCTTCAGGGCAGATGTTTTTATTTTATACGGCTTATAATTCCTTACTAAATATAGTATTTCATCTCAATGTACTCCTTTGATAATTTAAGTCAAATTCCTCGTCATTATAATTCGCTTCCAATAGTAAAGAGTTTATTGAAAACGAAAAAATTTCGATTGACAAGTTAGTCGGTATTCTCGGCACAGCAATTACAGACTTGAACAGCGGAATTTTGTTACTGAACAACAAATTATGTCTATTTATAGAATTAAAGAGAAAGTATTAGCACATAAAACGAAGCAACTCTAACAACTTGCATTAAAAGAAATGGTTAATAAAGTAAACAAATAAATATTAAGCTTTTTTTTTTTTTGTAAATTTTGATATCTTTTAGATAATAATTGCTCTTTATTTCATAAATTACGGTTTTATATTTTTAATTTTATAATTTCTGCATGCCATCTTACCAGATTTAAACTGATGATCTATAATCCGGAAAAATCGATAATCCGGAATCGCCAAAGTCCCAACGAGACTGGATTAACGACTTTTGACTGTATAGGTTTAATACGGGTAATATTCTTATTTGGCCTATATTATTACATGAAAAGCTTCCATTGGGTTTCTTCATCTTTCAAGAAAACATTCATTTTTTTATGTACAATAGCTGATTGTTGTCTGTCCCCTTTTTGCTGATTTAGAGAAAGTGAATACCTAAGTAGTTAGATTTTTTTAAAAATATGCTTAAAATGTTAACACAGTCATCGCTTGTTATAATGGCCGCTCTATTACAATGACCAGTACGAAAGACATATAATTGATGACAGTCTAGTTTAGGTAAATTTTGCAATAACTACCATTCTTTATAACATATCTTTTCTTCTGTGTAATGCAAAAAGTTCAAATATTCACACATCAATAGCTTATGAATCATATCGAATAAGATTTCATTTTAAGTTTAAAAAATAATTAAATAAGGAAGCTTTGATATCTTTTTTTTTTTTTTTTTTTTTTTTTTGAATGAACCATTATCATGAGATATATGTAAATAAATTATTTGCATAACTAAGTTTTAAAACAAGAACTAGTATGACGTCTACAATGCCCAGAAGATGCAGTCATTTTTACTTCGGTCAAATGACCGTTTTCTTATATGACAAAATTTGACATGTGACTGCAGTATAAAATCACTTTCTGAAATTGAAATTTCTGTGATTTCTAGTGAATGTCAGGAGTCCTGACTTCATACATATAAATGTAGTTCAGCAGGACATTTAAGGGTCCCCTGAGCCTTCGGGCCCCTATGCGATGGCATTCCTTGCATACCCTTATTTACGCCACTGCAAATAGGAACATAAATTATACTTATTGCTTAGTAATAATTATTTTACAGAAGGATTCCAAAAGTCCTAAATGTTCTTTAAAACACTTTAAAAAGTTAAGTATATTTACTGTCATGCAGGGCAAAATTCCATACTACTGCATTTTGTTCAACAATGCCTTTTATTTTATCATTTGGTGTTTTCCCACAGTTTTTATCTTTTGAGTGCATGTGCCAATTTCTAGATATATGATGTTGTCTTTATGATTAACTGTTTCTTACATTCAAATTGCAAGAAATATCACTACTGTCATAATGAGAGCATAAACTGTCATTTATCAAGTTCTGTGCTTGGCTAATGAAAGAGTACTTAAATAACTTTTAATTCCAAAAAAAAGCTTAATATATGAAACATTAAATAATAATTAAAAAACAATTTAAATAATACTTACAGACACATGATTTAACCATGCTGGGAATACAGCATCCAGAACTCTTGGAAAGATAAGTTCTCTATCTATTGTGTACAATATCCAGAACACAGCTACTACAAACTGCAACAGAAGGGAAAAATTATATTCAAAATTATTATATTCAATTACATTCAAAATTAAAATACACTTCAAAATTACCAATTTATAATTATTATCTTCAATTATAATAATTGCTGCAAATTAAGAGATACATTAAAGTGCATCCCTCTAGCATAAAATCATTTATAACAGTCTTTCAAACCTTTCTGATCATTAGCCTATATCAGTGATTTGCAAAAGAGTTGGACAACCAACTCTGGAATTGATTCAAAAAAATTATTCACATTACTGAGCAAATGGACAGTTATTTCAGAGAATGGAGTGGTAGTTTCTTTTACAGTTGACAGACAGCTCTTTTTGGAATCATGCCAGGAATAAAGATGTCACATTCATTCACAAGCTGGTTCACTTAACTGAGCGAGTGAATATTCGGCTCACCAAAAGGAGTGAAGCTCTAGTTAGAAATGATCCAGAAAAGTTCAATTCCAATTTAGGAGAGAAAAGGATGTTTATTCTCAAATGTTAAAAGTGGCATTAAATTTCATCATTTCCCAACTTTTAGAAAATTATTTTTATTTTAAAATTTTACCATTGGTTCTATATAGGAAGTAGGTTTTAGGGAATTTCAAAACTACACTTAAATCAACTCGGGGATGCAGTATTTGATTAACTAAATTCTTCTGATCTCATCAGTTGTTCAATTAATTTTCCTCTTCACTTTAATCTGTCCAACGATTCCCGATCCCACTGCTTTGTTTTTGCTCTTCCCTTCATCCCTGCTAACCATTCTTGATTCACTTCTCTTTCCAAATGTTTTCCATCAAGGTTATTGCTAGTTAGTAGTAAGTCATAAAAAGGAACTGATTCAATTCAGTAAGCAAACAGTTCTGATCTGATTCCATAAAAGAGTGATTTGCCCATCTCCAATTCTTAATGATCCAGCAGTAACATTTAATATGGTAATTTTGGGTGGATTTAAAGTTTTATTTATTTTATTCTATCACTACAATAAATAATAATAAATGCAGTATAATTATTACTACAGTCAAAAGTCGTTAATTCCCGACTCGTCGGGACTTCGGCGATTCCGGATTATAGATCATCAGTTTAAATCTGGTAGAATGGCATGCAGAAATTATAAAATTAAAAATATGAAACCGTAATTTACGAAATAAAGAACAATTATGATCTAAAGTGTATCAAAATTTACAAAAAAAAAAGCTTAATATTTATTTGTTTACTTTATTAAACATTTCTTTCAATGTAAGTTGTTTAAGTTGCTTCGTTTTTTATGTGATAATACATTCTCTTTAATTCTATAAACAGACATAATTTCTTGTGCTGTGTCGAGAATACCGACTAATTTGTCAATCGAATTTTTTTCGTTTTCAATAACCTCTGTTAGTTTCTTCGCTATCGGAAGCGAATTATAATGACGAGGCATTTGATTTAAATCATATCAAAGAAATGAAATACTACATTTAGTAAGCAATTATAAGCCAAATAAAATAAAAACATCTGCCCTGAAGATAAGGATAGTGTTGACAGATCAACTTCCAATTCATTGCGCGCCGCCGCGGCGTTAAAGATAAACAAAGTTTACGCGCAGAAAGTTTGTAGCTTTGAGGTCCGGATTATAGATCATTCCGGATTATAGGCGTCCGAATTAAAGACTTTGGACTGTATAAATACCTGTCAATTACTTATATAATTAATTAAGTACTTAATTAATAAATATCTTTATTTAGAATTACTAACTATTTGCTAATAATTACATATTATTAATAAATTGTTTTTCTACTGTTCTTCTTTCTCTTCATTTTCATTCAACATGTTACAAAACTGAAATGTTTGGAAAAAATTTTCTTTATGCATCTTATATGACTTCCCTTCTCAAAATAGCTCAAAAATCAGATCTATTAAATCTTTTTAAACATAAAGGTTTTCAAGACATTCTAATATTTTATATGCACAAATACATGAAATGAATTTAAAATTTAAAAAATATTTTAGTAAAATTCATAATTAAAATCAAATTTCTTTATTTAAAGGAGAAAAAAGTATTAGCACACATTTCTATAATATTTTGTACAAATCAAAAGATTAATTTGCTCTTCATTTTGTCTTCAATCACAGGAAAAAGTTCAGAAACAGCACTCATCTCCTTCCACATATACTCTCTGTACCTATAAATGATTCTGATAAATGATTCTATTAAAACTGCTGTCATCTGTGTGATGCTACAAAAGGAATTGAAGCTCTTAAAGCTCTTTGTACTGGAGTATTCCTCTTCATTAGGGCTCAAAACTGTAGTGGAGAAGACAACACAAACTAGACAAGATCTGATGAAATATCAATAAGTTATTTGTCCATTCCAGTTGAGACTGTTCATAGAAGCTGTTTATTTGATCTAGTTGTACAGCTCAACCTCATCTGGAAACACCTCATAAACTAAACAGAAAAATATGATAAATGGTCAAAGAACATAATTTTCTTGTCTTCATTTAATATAAAAATCTCTCCCCTCCTCCTTCTTCAAAAGCACATGCAGCAGAGGAAAATATTCTTTGTCTAAGTAGTTTTCACCCCCAAATCCTGAAATGTTACAACTGTAAAAAGTTTTCCCATTATGACATAGTGTTGAACACTGAAAATGCCATGGTTCAAAAAACAAATATTTATTACAGAGTAATATGCAGAGATACATGCAGAGTTACATGCAGAGAAATACATGCAGATAAATACAAGCAGAGAGTGAAAAGTTACAGAGGTAATATATATAACTTTACAACAGATCATGGTTTAAAATCAAAAGTAATAAAGAATGGGATTAAGTTTCGGAATAATTCGGACCTGACCGAAAGCTAATGCATTGGATATGACAGAAAGCTATACTTCTTTTAACCAATGAGAATGCGATTACAAATATCTCTACACATAGTTAATGAGCTAAACTTTTAGAAAATAGTGCACAGATATATATGCTCTTTCTGAATCACTTATTAAGAGCTATTAGTTCTTAATTATGTTTTTTTATTTAAATAAGGCATATAAATTATAATTTTATATAAAAATTTTGATTGATTGGCAATATCAGGTCAAATTTGTTGACAAGGGATGTTTCAACATCATCAGTATAGAACGAAACAGCAAACTAGATCACAAAAAATTTGTAACTACTGCCATGTCCGTACTTGTTAATGGAAAACTCTCAACATATATATACTGCAGTATAAAAAAAATATATGTCATTGGTCTGTGCAATGAGTGAATACTACTGTAGCAATTCATGTTCATTTAATTGCATTTATGCTAATTTGGATCCTTTTGCAATTTTAATGAGAGCAAAATTATCCATAAAACCATAGTGAATGAAAAAAGGAAGTAACAGGATCCTTACAAAAAAGTAATCAATATTATCCTCTAATTTAATGCAGAGTTTAACAAGTAAACCTAAATCTCAGATTCCATTCATTCTATATTTTATGCAGATTCTGTTCCTCGCATTTTATGAAAAACAAAGCCATTTAATAACAAAATATTTTATTTCTAATTAAATTCATACTTACCACACCATATGGCAGTACAATACCAGCATACATTTTATCTCTGACCCTCATCATTTTATGATAAGTGCTTGGGGATACTTTTATTAAATCAAGGATACAAGATAAGGCAAAAAACAGAAACTGAGCAATCTGTAAAAAATCAAACAATTTATAACAATGACCAATTAAAGACAATATTTTAATGCAGTTTACAAGTGGAACAATTGTTTTTCAAATTAAATATTGAATGAATTCCAACAGGACACTTCACAATGATTTAAAATGCTCCAATCAGAACTTTAAAATATGGAAATTGAAAAAATTACCGATTTCATTTATCCTTTATGACCACAAAACTAAAACTAATGAAAAATGTTAACCTAAATTTTGCAGGTTTGAATTTTATTTCAGAATACAGTCAAAAGTCGTTAATTCGGACACCCATAATCCGGAATGATCTATAATCCGGACCTCAAAGCTACAAACTTTCTGCGCATGCGTCACTTTCACGCATGCGCACAGGCGTTTACGAGAGCGCATAAGACCCTTACAGCTGCGAATATGTTTGTGCGCATGCGCGTTTAATGTGTAATGGAGTTATACGCTAAGCTAAAGTTATCTAATTCAGTTAATGTTGCAGATTGCGTTGTTCCTTAATCTTCGAAATGGATCCGGCTTATTATTTTTTGCAGACTGTTAGAGCAATTTTATAAAAGTAAGCTTGAACTTTCGATTATGTCAAATAGAATTTCCGATATATATTTACTACAAAGCGAAAGTATGTTTTGAAATCCGAAATCTGTTTATCAATTTCACGCTGCTCTGCGGCAGAGGGGGGGGGGGGCAGAAACGTCATTATTAGATTATGATATATTAGAAAGATTATGTCAAATAGAATTTCCGATATATATTTACTAATATGTAATTTGTATCTACAAAGCGAAAGTATGTTTTGAAATCCGAAATCTGTTTATCAATTTCACGCTGCGGATTGGAAGTTGATCTGTCAGCACTATCCTTATCTTCAGATGTTTTTATTTTATTTGGTTTATAATTCCGTAGTAAGTGTAGTATTTCATCTCGATATACTCCGTCTTTGATATGATTTAAATCAAGTTCCTCGTCATTATAATTCGCTTCCGATAGTGAAGAAAGTGACCCAGAGGTTATTGAAAACGAAAACATTTCGATTGACAAATTAGTCGGTATTCTCAACACAGCAATTATAGGACTTGAACAGCGGAACTTTGTAACTAAACAAGAAATTATGTCTGTTTAATAGAATTAAAGAGAAAGTATTATCACACGAAACGAAGCAACTTACATTGAAGGAAATGTTTGATAAAGTAAACAAATAAATATTAAGCTTTTTCTTTTTGTAAATTTTGATACCCTTTAGATTAAAATTGTTCTTTATTTCATAAATTACGGTTTCATATTTTTAATTTTGTAATTTCTGCATGCCATCTTACCAGATTTAAGCTGATGATCTATAATCCGGAAAAATCGATAATCCGGAATCGCCGAAGTCCCGACGAGTCTGGATTAACGACTTTTGACTGTACCTGTTTTATTTAAAATTACATACTTTTTAATTTCAAGTTACTGCATTTTGAAATCTCTCTAAGAGCAAATTAAACCTAGTAACTTTTAAATAAAAGAATCCCCCCTTTATAACATATGTTAAGATATTTTAGTTAAAATCAATGCTAAATCAAGTTATTCAAGCTAGTATAAACCACTTACATTTATTAATCTTAGATGAGTTTTCAAGGAAATAAAATATATTTCTATCAAATTAGATGCAAAAACAGATTATTATCCCAATCAAGTTAGAGACAAAAATAAATAATTATGTTACGATCCAACATTTAAAATGTCAACACTGAACTTGACAATCCGATTATGGGACCACTGTTACACCTAAAAATTTTTCATGAAAAATACACTATAGACTCTATCTTAACTAAACTTTTGTTCTTTGACTTCTAAATTAATCTTTCTTAACTAGCTTCTGTTTAACCGGATCTCCATTTTAACTGGCCATAATGAATTTTATAAAGATTTTTAAAAAAAGCAAAAAATTATAAAAAATTGAAAAATTCCATAATTATGTATTTTAAATATGAAATAAAAAGAAAGTAAACTTTAAAAACATAAGCACTTTGTACATTAAGCACACTCCTATTAATTAAAAAATATTTGAAATGGCTTATACAGTCAAAAGTATTTAATTCAGACGTTTACGCATAATATAATATGTTTACGCATGCGCATTTAATGTATAACAGAGGGTATAAGCTAAACTAAAATTATCTATTTCAGTTAATGTCGCAGATTGTGTTGTTCCTTAATCTTCGAATTGGATCCGGCTTATTATTTTTTGCAGACTGTTAGAGCAATTTTATAAAAGTAAGCTTGAACTTTTGATTATGTCAAAAAGAATTTCCTATCCTACAAAGCGAAAGCATGTTTCGATGTCCATCAAACAAAATGTGGAATTGCTGCAAAAAATGGATAAAAGCATATCCTTTGATTCTCTAACCATTCCGAAATATGTTTATCAATTTCACGCTACTCTGCGGGAAGGGGGGGCGACACGGCACGCAATGAACTGGAAGTTGATCTGTCAGCACTATCCTTATCTTCAGGGCACATGCTTTTATATTATTCGGCTTATAATTCCTTAGTAGATGTAGTATTTCATCTCGATGCACTCCGTCTTTAATATGATTTAAAATCAAATTCCTCGCCATTATAAATATCACGAATACACATCAAATAGTTTTCTGGTTGCAATTTTCTAATTTCGACTATGCGTAATATATGCTTTACGCATGCGCGCGCTGAAAGAAATGTTTAATAAAGTAAACAAATAAATATTAAGCTTTTTTTTTTTTTGTAAATTTTGATACACTTTAGATCATAATTGTTCTTTATTTCGTAAATTACGGTTTCATATTTTTAATTTTATAATTTCTGCATGCCATCTTACCAGATTTAAACTGATGATCTATAATCCGGAAAAATCGATAATCCGGAATCGCCGAAGTCCCGACGAGCCCGGATTAAAGACTTTTGACTGTATTTGGTTTTTCCTGGATAATGCTCCTTCTCATCCTAGTGAAGATGAATTAAAAGCAGGTGCTATTGAGGTAGTCAGTCTTCTTGCCAGCTAACATAATGTTTCTGTTAGAGCCCATGGACCACAAGGTGATAGAAAATTATATCACAAAAAGCTTTTAACAGCTCTGTGAGGAAGCTAACTCTGATTTAAGCATCATCAATTTATTGAAAGCGATTAATACAGGATGTTTATAAAGTCCCTATACGTTTTTGCTTAAACAGGCCTTATTATGAAATATAAATTATTTACATGAAAATGCAACATAATAAATAGAATACTAAGTTAGTACAGTTCAATGTGGCGCCCTTGAGTGTCTAGGCATTATTTCCACTATTCCACCACATTCCGGAATACCTAATGTAAAATTATTGGTGTAATTTCAGCTGCTGCAGGCATAATTCACTGTTTTTATTGTTCACTGCTGCCAGTCTTTACTCACCTTGGACTTGACAAAACCTTATAAGAAAAAGTCTAAGGGAATTAAGTTTGGTGACTGTAGAGGCCAAAGCCATTAAGAGCCACAACTAATCTACCTATCAGAAAAAGTTTCATTAAGATAATTACACACATTAATGGCAAATTGGGGAGGTACCCAATTTCATTGGAAGACAACAGTGTCAATAAAGCCATCTAATATTAGCTGTGGCTCAAGATATTATTACAACATATCAAGATAAATTTCTCCAGTGATGGTTCTTTCTGCAAACATGATAGGTCCACAGTTTAGACTTAGATATTACAATCCATACATTAACTTTAGGTGTGTCTCCCTAAAATTCGTATAACAAGCTTGGTTGTTCATCAGCTGTAATTCGGCAATTATGCCTATTAACATAGCCGCTGATATGGAATGTGATTTCGTCACTAAAGAGAACATTGTCTATTAAATTCTCATTTTACATAGCTTCCAACAAATCATAACACATGGCTTGCCGAGCTGCATAGTCCTCAGCTATCAAAATTTCATGCTTATGTACACTTTGAATGTGGTACACAGCCTTGATGACAGAGTAGAGTTTTCAAAACAGTAGTATACAAAATACTGAGTTCCCGGGTGAGTCTTCATGTACATGACTGGGGGCTACACTTAATCACTTCTTGTACGTTTTGCTCAACTTGTGGCGTTATCAAAGTTCTCCCAGAACAATCTTCATCTTTAACACTACCAGTTTACTTGAATTTGTTCACCAAGGTTTTAATAGCTGCTCTGATAGGGGCTTGTTTTCTGAATTTACAGGCGAAGTCCTCCTGTACCTGTTGATACGTTAATCCACGTGTACGGAAACAAACAATTGCTATTCTTTCCTCTGTTAACAGCATTCTTTCAGATCGCCTCCAAAAACATTGGAATTAGAACGCATGTCTCAAAAATGTATAGAGACTTAAAAATGTATAAACACCCTGTATAAAGAGCTATTTATATGATAGCTGAGTCATGGTCAGGGGTTGCTGAATCTACAATGATAAATCTTGACAAAAACTTTGACCAATGTCTCAAAGAACCATAGAAGGAAATGCAGTCACAGCAGGTGAAGAGAAACTTTTCTACAAGCAACTTTGTGTCATCATTCAAATATCTTAGTGTATGCCAAGAAGTTCAAGTTGAAGACATGAAGAGGTGTTTGATCATTGACAGCGTTCTTCAGTAAGAAACTTTGTCAGATGATGACATCATTCGAACTGTCAGTGTTGTGGTTTACGATGACTGCGATATCGATGACAATGTGACCTCCGTCGTATCACATACAGATGGAGCCAAAGCATTGGAAATGGCCATACTACCTTTGTACATGCCCTCAGATGTATGGCACTGCCAAATGTGGCGATGTGTGTTCTGCGCTGGTTTTGGGCACAATTACGTGTTCTGCGATGGTTTTTGGCACGATGTTGTTTGTATGGCAACCCTTTTGACATCGAAACTTGATTTTGCAGGAGTAATTTTATTTTCTAGTTGGTTGGTTTGGTGGGCATTTTGAAATGGCTTATTTTGCAATGAAAGACGTAGTGGCAAAATTTCAGTCGT